GTGAGCTTTTTTTTCTTTTTAATGTGAATCTCGCATATTTCTACGCGCATGACAACGTAAAACAAATTTCTGCACGGAGAAGATAAAGTTATCTAGTATATCTTTATTTTTCTCTGGGCGTTCTTTTATTTTTGGGGGTAGCGGGAAGTGTTGAAGATCAGGAGAAGAGCACAAGAGCTCAAAGAAACACACAACTCCATCTCAGACCAGGCGAATCTTCTGGCACTCATATGACCTTATGCAGTTGCGAGCGCCGTAAAACCTCTACTAAAACAAACAAACAAGACCAGACGAGTCTGGAAATATTATGACTCATGATTCGAATCCTCAGCTACGTTCTTCAGCTACTGTTCGTTTTTAGTTATAGTACGAGTTTTACAGCACATGCAATTCAACCAGGCCATGATACAAGTGCTGAGGATTAGATGTCTTACTAGAGAGTAACATACAAATAGAAGAACGAGGGGAGGTAGAGACGATATGTTTGATAGGAAAATTTTTTTATTTAAAAAGCAAACCCCACTAGATCTATATCACCTGGCAACCACCCACTTCATACCGTTCATAAATTTAGTTTCCGCGAGGGTCCAATCTAGAGTCTGAATCTGCGGAATCGAGTACAGCTCTCTCTATCTCGGCGCTTCCCCCCCACACACACGCACCCCGCACCACCCCCCTGTCAGCCCACCTCCTGACAAGCAGTTAGAGATTTCCTTTGATCTTGCCGCCTTCCAGAGCACCTTACCTAGATGAGTTTCCTTTGATCTTCGTTCGGTTTGGCTTTTCTTTTCCCCTACCTTTCAGCCGCTCTCCTCATTCGTTTATTATCACCCTCTCATCTACCAACATACTTCGACCTCCGTGCCCGCCCGGCGCTCACAATGTCTGTCTTTCTCTCTATCATCAATATGTTGGACCCTGCCCCGTGATCTGAGTGTGTCTGTGTCTCTTACACGCACACATTCATGTACGCGCCCACGCACGCACGCATTACAAACAAACACACACACAAACACACACACACACACACACACACACACACACACACCCAGA